CGTTCAAGCAATTCTCCTGCCTCAGCCTCCCTAGTAGCTGGGATTACAGGCACACACCACTACGCTCAGCTAATTTTTGTATTTTTAGTAGAGACTGGTTTTGCCATGTTGGCCAGGCCGGTGTTGAACTCCTGACTTCAAGTGATCCACCTGCCTCAGCCTCCCAAAGTGCTGGAATTACAGGCGTGAGCCACCATGCCTGATCCCAGAGGGGTCTTTCTGTACCCAGAGCTGCCCCTGCCCCTCCGCTACTCACCACCCTTCCATGGCCTCCTAGTGCCCCTCCCCACCTGCAGACACAAAATCCAGGCCCCATGGTTCATGAAGGACTCACCAGGATGAGGCCCCAGCCAGGTCAGTGCTCCACAAGCAGCAGGTCCTGGGGACTGGGGACAGGGGGCACCTGTGGGCCCCAAAGTGTCAGCCACAAGTGGGTCACCCTCTTGGCCCCCTCACCCCCTCTGCCCACCCTGCTCACCTGCTCCCTAGGGCGGGGTGTCCTCCGCCGCGTCCTCTGCCAGTGCAGGCACCAGGCAGTGGCCAGCAGCAGGAGGCCCACAGGCAGCAGCAGCAGGAGGAGGAGCAGAGGGCGCTGCGGGGCTGTCAGGGCCGTGGCCTCCAGGGCCCCAGGACTCCGTGGGGGTGGCAGGGTTGAGGAGTCTGGGGAGAAAGAGGAGGCTGATGAACAAGGAGAAGGGCTGGGGTAAGGAAGGAAAGAGAGGCCTGGCTGCCACTGACTGTGTGACCTTGGATGGGCTGCTTGGCCTCTCTGTGCCTCAGTTTGCTCATCTGTAAAACTACGATAATCATTGTACCTACCTCATCAGATTGTCACAAATTAGATGAGCGAATAGCCTAAGCGCAGTGGCTCATGCCTGTAATCGCAGCACTTTGGGAGGCCAAGGTGGACGGATCTCTTGAGGTCAGGAGTTCGAAACCAGCCTGGCCAACATGGTGAAAACCCATCTCTACCAAAAACACAAAAATTAGCCAGGTATGGTATGCGCACCTATAATCCCAGGTACTCGGAAGGCTGAGGCAGAAGATTCGCGTGAACCCTGGAGATGGAGGTTGCAGTGAGCCGAGATTGCGCCACTGCACACCAGCCTGGGCTACAGAGCAAGATGACTCAGAAAAAAAAAAAAGTAAACTGAGGAATAAACTTGCCCTTGTCACAACCAATATGAGCAGGGTGGGGTCTGGGACGCACTGTGCAGAGAGGAGGAGCGGCCGTGAGGACAGGAGGGGAAGGAGTGGGAGTGGCTGGAAGCCTTTACCAGGCTGACACTGCAGCTCCAGGCACCGGGAGAAATTCTGGCGAGTGATCCAGGGCTTCAGAGCCACCAGCTGCTCGGAGGTCTCCTGCAGGAGGCGGGAGATGTTGGTCTGGACGAAGCGAAGACAGCTGGGGGGGGGCTGGGAGCAGGGGAGGGAGACGTCACCACCACGTCATTCCCCTCACCACCCCTCCGCAGGCCAAAGGTCCTTCCCTGCTGGCTATGCTCAGCAACAGGGCAGGGCCCAGTGAGCTCTGGCTCTCAGAGAGAGTTTATTTATTTTATTTTATTTATTTTTTAGTTTTTTGAGATAGAGTCTCGCTGTGTTGCCCAGGCTGGAGTGGTGAAATGCAACCTCTGCCTCCCGGGTTCAAGTGATTATCCTGCCCCAACCTCCCCAGTGCTTGGGACTATAGGTGCCCACCACCATGTCCGGCTACTTTTTGTATTTTTAGTAGAGACGGGATTTCTCCATGTTGGCCAGGCTGGTCTCAAACTCCTGACCTTGTGATCTGCCCGCCTTGGGCTCCCAAAGTGCTGGGATTACAGGTGTGAGACACTGCGCCCGGCCTTTTATTTTTAATTTTTTTGGAGACGGAGTCTTGCTCTGTCACCCAGGCTGGAGTGCAGTGGTGTGGTCTTGGCTCACTGCAACCTCCGCCTCCTGGGTTCAAGCAATTCTCCTGCCTCAATCTCTCGAGTAGCTGGGACTACAGGTGCCTGCTACCATGCCCGGCTAATTTTTTTTTTTTGTATTTTAGTAGAGACGGCGTTCATTGTGTTGCCCAGGCTGGTCTCGAACTCCTGAGCTCAGGCAATCTGCCTGTCTCAGCCTCCCAAAGTGCTGGGATTACAGCTGTGAGCCACTGCACCCGGCCTATTTTATGTTTTGAGACAGGGTCTTGCTTTGTCACCCAAGCTGGAGTGCAGTGGCCCAGTCATAGTTCACCGCAGCTTTGAAATCCAGGGCTCAAGTGATCCTCCCACCTCAGCCTTCTGAGTAGCTGGGACCACAGGTGGGCACCACCATGCCTGGCTAATTTATTTTTATTTTTGTGCAGAGATGAGGTTTCACTGTGTTACCTGGGCTGGTCTTGAACACCTGGGCTCAAGCAGTCCTCCTACCTTGGCCTCCAAAAGTGCTGGGATTACAGGTGTGAGCCACTGCACCCAGCCCTCAGATAGAGGTTTTTGTTTGTTTGTTTGTTTTGAGACGGAGTCTCGCTCTGTCGCCCAGGCTGGGGTGCAGTGGCCGGATCTCAGCTCACTGCAAGCTCCGCCTCCCGGGTTTACGCCATTCTCCTGCCTCAGCCTCCCGAGTAGCTGGGACTACA